CCAGCCCCTTCCCCAGGGCAGTTGAAATGATCTCACCTGTAGGCATGTGAAGCTACTGAGCCCATAAAAACTGACAACACCATGACTAGCAGCCTTTTCACTCCCTCCCCTTTAGAGATGGCCCACATTCTGTCTATGAAGTGTGTACCTACTTTTACTTTAACCTGAACACCCAATTCCCACACCTCTTTCTTTGCCTTTATCTTGCCTTACACTGTATGTGGTATGTATCTCTCTAAATAAATCTACATTTACTCAACAGTGGCTCTCACTTGAATTCTTTCCTGTGCAAAGCCAAGGACCCACACCTGGCAGGGCATGTCCTAGGGGCTCAACTGAGACCTGGGACACGGCCCTCCTCATGCCCCACATCCATTTTCCTGCATCACTGGCAGATCTTAAAGTTCTCACTAACACTTGTTAACCTTTGTCTCCCACACCCCAACCTCGATTTTTCAACTTCATAAGAAAGAACATGTCTGAGGCTCAAAGTAGTAGGCAGCAAACGGCATATAACTGGACTTAAATAATATGTATATTTTAATAATGTTTTATAGTTATATTCTGTTTATGGTCAGCGGTAGAAACTTTCCAGTAAGATAGTGATGTACAGTTGTCTTTTAAAATACATTGATTTCATTTTCTACAGAGTATATTTAAAGAAAAAGATTAAGTAAATAATGGTATAGGCTGTACCCTGATACAGCAAAAAGAAAAAAATCATAAAAGTGGAATTTAAATAACTGAAGTTTGAGCAGTACTAAATAAAATAATATAAGCAATGTCATAAAACAATAAATGGCAAAATGACACTATTGTTATATTTTATACTGCTACATAAATTATATATCTATATATGTTATATAAATCATAAATAATACATTATTATAATATTAACAACAATAATTATAGCATATGTAGTTGTATATATAAATATAAAATATAATTAATGTTATTTATCATATTATTACATCAAACTATGTTTAATAGTAACTGCTATAGGAGTTTAGAGGGAGTAAATATTACTCAGGAATGTGATAATCTGGGATAGATTCTTGGAAGAGGTCTAACAAGGTTCAACCTTGAAAGAAAGGATTGCTGAGACTTCAGTTGGTGTATTATCAGCTAAATATGTTGTGTAACACATTATTCCAAAATTGAGCAGCTTGAGACAGCAAACACATTACCTCACGGAGTTTCTTAGGGTCAGGAGTTCAAGATCTCTCATGAGGCTGCCATCAAGGATTTTGGTCATCTGAAGGTTTGACTGGGACTGGAGCTTCTAAGGTCCAAGAAAAGTCTTGCTTATTTACAATGCTGTTGGCTGGAGGCCTCAGTATCTCACCATGTGGGCATCTCTATAAGGTTACTCATGACAAGGGCTGGCTTCCTTCCTCAGCAGCAAGTGATGCAAGAGAAGTGGAAGTCCCTTATCTAATCTTGGAAGTGACTTACCATCTCTTCTGTCATATTCTGTTGACCATAATCCTGGAGCAATGAGGGGAGGGCACAGATATTAGAAGGTGTGGGTCACTGGATGCCATCTGAGAGGCCATTTCCCACAGTTGGCACAGAATAGTGTGCCTCTCAATTCTCAGAGGCATCAGTATTATCTGGAGAATTTCAAATACCCCAGATGCCCAGGTCCCACCTCTTATAAATTTAATCAGAATCTCTGGGGGCAAATCTCAGCAGTTACATATTGTTTCAAAATATGTAACTGCTGGATGCAAAAGGAGTGAGAAACTGGAACTACAGAACTGATCGAGTGAGAGTGGCCATTTGCTTATTACCTAATTATATGGCTAATATACCATGAGAAACAATATGAAAGATTTTGCTGTCTTGGTTTGAGACAAGGGTGGAAATAAAGCCAGAAAAAGTGAAAGAAGTGGCAGAAAGTTTAAGATTCAGGAGTGGACCTGTGTATTAAAAAGTGAGTATGGCTTTTAATGTTTGAAAGACAGCCTTATTTGTCAATGGCCCATGTTCGTGTGGTCCCTGGGGAACCCCAACTGGAAGCCGATTCAAAATTAGTGATTCTTCCACAGAGATCTGCTCAGTTCAGGAGGCTGTGGAGAAGGGGACTATACTGGAACAAAAAGTAGCTGTTGGGAATAAATGGCCTGGGGTTCCTATATCTGTAGGGAAGAGTGTGGCACTTTTCTGGGGGCCCTGATGCCGAGACTCCTTCTCTCTGACTTCTCTGGGAGGTTTCAGCAAAGAAGCAAAATGACACTTCCATGCAGAGCACCTTGCCTGTTCTTCTTTGAGGTCCAGGATCAGGGGTCGAAATGAGTCACAGCCGATCACCCAAAACCATTCTGCAGCTACTAAGAATTTGAAATACATGACAAGGAAATGCAAAGACAGTATACTGTCATACAAGGTCTAACACATTCTGGAAAGCTCCTTCCCCACCGCTCTTTCCCACCTCCAGCTATTGTGTTGCCTCAGTTCCAGCCTCATTGGCCACCTCCTGTCCCTTAAAGAACATCGGGTACTTCCCCCTCACCCCACATGTACACTCAAGGCCTCTTTTTCCTGCTTCCTTCTGCCTAGAATTATCTTTCCTACTCCCTCATCTCCTCATCTTTGTTAAAATTTCACCTTGTTGATGAGCATTCTGTGATTATGTTATTTAAAATGGAAGAAAAAAAACATTTCCTATCTTTCTTTTCTGCTTCGTGTACCAGACATTTAATATCTTCTGACACTCTTTTTTTATTGCAGTTTTTATCAGCCTGTCTTTTCCCATATTAGAAAATAAACTCTGTGAGTGCATGACTTTTTTTCTCTTTAGTTCACTGCTGTATTTCTGGCACCTAGAAGAGTTTATGGGATGCAATATGTGCTCAACAAACGCTTATTGAAAGAAAAAATGAACTAATAAACACTGTATGGGTTGGATTTTGAGGCTGAGTTTGAGACATGAAGATGTCCTAAGCCTTTCAAATGCCAAATAGATGTACAAGATTCCTTTTTAATATATACAAAATATATGTGCCTATTAATCTACAATTCATAAGCATTCACCAAGCATTCTTGCTGATCCTTACAATATTCATGTGACTGTAAAATTGATGTTATCCCTAGTTTACTGACAGGGAAACCGAGTTTCAGAGAAGCTGAAATCTTGGCCTCTTAAAGTAAGTAGTACAAGTTTTAGGAACTGGTCTCCTAATTTCAAATGTCAGTCCTGTAGGCCGACCATAACAGCAGGGACAGGTAATGTTGGTTAAAAATGAATTGTAAAACAAAAATGCTAAATACTAAAAGAAGATTCTAGAAATAAATCACACTTCTTAAGTCTAATGGAAATAAAGGCATAAAGATACAGGAAAGACAGGGAGGGCCCCGCTTGCACATAGGCAGGATGTATGTGTGTGGGAAAGGTTGAAATAGGAAGGGGAAAAAATCTGGAAAAATTTCAAGAAAGGAGAACAAAGCAAGCTGGAAAAATAAAAGAAGGTTTCAGAGATTAGATTTGGACACTAGCTCTGCAGGACAGACAGGATTTAGATGGTAGATGAACAGGGGCGTTACAGAATGGGGAACAGCCATATGGTGTATTTCAAGAAATAACAATCTAGTGTTAGTTTATGTCTTCACTGCATCAATAACAATACTAATTTCATATTTAATGTTGATTAATGTAGTAAAGAAATGAACTAAACTCGATAAATATTCTGCAAGTGTTTCCAGCCAACTTTTTGAGCCTACTGGAAACACAATCACTAGCTTTGTCTGCAGTCATGGCTTTAACTCTCTCCTTTGCTCCTGAGCTCTTTTGTTCAGCCTCAGTTTTATGCTTTCTATTCCCACAAACCTAAGGCCTCTTGTCCTTCAATGGAAAAAGGTTGAATAATACCTAGAAAAACAGTAAAGATGTTAGGTTTTTAAGATCATAGTATCTGATGGTTGGTAGAATGCATGGGACTTTTATGTCCACACTGATTCTTGAAAATGTCTAATTAGCTCTAAAATACCAGCCTAAACACTGGGAGACTGGCATATCCCCCTGGGAGGAAATGCCATCCTGATACTCCTCTTCACATCTCAAAGATTGCCTTTTCATGTAGGATTTCTCCCTTCAAACAGGAGGGAAAAAAAAAGGTGAAGCGGAAATAGAATGAGATGCAATGTGGAGCTGACTCAGAAAAGAAAATGACCTACAGTCAATTCTTTTTCCCAAGTAAAAAATTTGACCATGTGAAAATAGTGAATAGGAATGCCACCTGGCTCCAAAGGTGGTAAAACATTAACACTTAAGAATATGCTGCAGGATCCAATTGCATCTTAGTGGAACTTCACGACGAAAGATGTGGACGTGCAGACACGTACAGTACCTTGGTCTACCCAGGAAAAATGTAAAGTGGTAGAAAAATTCAAACATCTGGATTTTCAAATGAGGATACAATCCCACTCCTAACTGGTGAAGAGAGGTGATTTAATTCCACTCTAATCTTTTTCCTCTTTCTCCATCTTTATGTGAACACGAGGTTATTTTGTGCAAATGTGTGAGTTGGAGGTAGCAAGACAGCACATATCCAGGATTGATGTTACATAAGAAAAACCTAAAGGGAATACAACCTGGTAATTTTCCTTTAACCTGTTTTCTGTGATGTTTTTGGATCATGTTGCGGCAGGAGGGTGAGGGACTGCAGTCAGCAGCTGGTGAATATGGTAACTTGTAAACGTTCAGTTAAAGAACATTTGAAAATGTGTAGCAACTAGTTGGGTGATAGTTAAAATGAGTCTGGTTAAATGAAGTAACCACAATAAAATTCGTTTTGGTTCATATCTCTAGCATGTCTCTATAACCTTACCTGAAATATCAGAAACCCAAAATCTAACTTTTTGCACCAATTAAGAAGCACTTATTAAGGGCTTATTAAAGGCCATTGTCTTCCTCTAAAGCTGGTAAGTGCCAGTTCTCTTTGGAAAGCGTGGGTGGCTCTGAAAAGAGCCTTTGGGTGTGAACGAGCCTGATAAATCACTATACAGCCAATGAATCACTTGGAGCTGGTGTACTTGGTGACGGCCTTGGTGCCCTCGGACACAGCGTGCTTGGCCAGCTCCCCGGGCAACAGCAGGCGCACGGCCGTCTGGATCTCCCGGGAAGTGATGGTCGAGCGCTTGTTGTAGTGCGCCAGGCGCGACGCCTCGCCCGCGATGCGCTCGAAGATGTCGTTGACGAACGAGTTCATGATGCCCATGGCCTTGGACGAGATGCCGGTGTCCGGGTGGACCTGCTTCAGCACCTTGTACACGTACACGGAGTAGCTCTCTTTGCGGCTGCGCTTGCGCTTCTTGCCGTCCTTCTTCTGCGCCTTGGTCACCGCCTTCTTGGAACCCTTCTTCGGGGCTGGAGCGGACTTGGCTGGCTCGGGCATGGTGAATAGAAGGCGCAACACTGCAGAAATAAGTGAGCACGGAATGGCTCGAGTCCTTTTTATTTACAGCTCCGTATGCAAGTAATATTGTAAAGCTCTATGTCTGATTGGCTAATACGAGTGATGATGTTAAATGACAGTATTGTCCAATGAGAACGCACGTTTTAAAGGCACTGTGTTTGTCTTGTTTAAAATGAAACTGCAACGGTAGCCAATGGAATAGCTTCTTTTTCGCGCCCAGCTACAGCTATAAATTGTGCGTCTGTCCTCTTTTTCTTTACTCGTCCTTCGTATAGGCTTTAGGTATTGCGCAATGTCTGGACGTGGTAAGCAGGGCGGCAAGGCTCGCGCCAAGGCCAAGACCCGCTCTTCGCGGGCCGGGCTCCAGTTCCCCGTGGGCCGGGTGCACCGCCTGCTCCGCAAGGGCAACTACGCCGAGCGGGTCGGGGCCGGCGCGCCGGTGTACCTGGCGGCGGTGCTGGAGTACCTGACGGCCGAGATCCTGGAGCTGGCGGGCAACGCGGCCCGCGACAACAAGAAGACGCGCATCATCCCGCGCCACCTGCAGCTGGCCATCCGCAACGACGAGGAGCTCAACAAGCTGCTGGGCAAAGTCACCATCGCTCAGGGTGGCGTCCTGCCC